ATCACCCCTTCCATCACCCTATAAGTAATTCGATAATGTAGCTTAGAACCAAGGTCAAGGATTGAGCTATTAAGGCGCAAAAGCGTAACAAGCAATAAATTATATTATACTAGTGATCCACCCCGGCATTGCACGGGAAAAATTAAACGACGAATAAATAACGACCTTAATTACAATACTCTTACACTGTTTCGGTGCGAGTCCAATAATTATCGATTGAAAAATAAAAGGCCTTTCTAAAAGCCTTCACTCGTTTATATTATTTGACTTCTAACAGTAGTGCTACGTTCGCCATCAATTATTCAATCACAAACCTAGTTGAGGTTGGTATAGTCCAGTCGAACCCGTCGTAAAGGGGTTACATAATTTTTTTAATTAACCCAATTAAGTTAATTTTACGTGAGTTTTATACGGGCTCTTTAGTAGCTGGCTATAATGGAAGCGAACGTTTTATGAAGTCAATTTCTTATTATAATAGCTTTTTTGCCTAGAAATTCGTAAATTATCGCTTTTTATATAAGAATTGGCATTTTTTTTCAGCTAAGGAAAACCGTGAATAAGTTAGTTTATTAATTTTTTACCTATTGTAAACTTGGATCTTCCAATTTATTCTTGGGATCTAAGATTTGTTTTGTGTTTAGAAGTTAAAAAAACAGTTATTTGAATATCAACACTTGACAAGTTTAAATTTTTATGGATTGTTATATTATCTACCCTACCTAATTTCTCTGACTACCTGACAAACTCGAGTCCGACAAGTACTATAGTCATGTTTAAAGGTTGCCTTAAAATTTATAATTTATCTTTATCTTCTAAAACTATTTTATTTTCATAAATTTCGATAATATCCCACCTCATGTCAAGAGATTTAAATTGAGAAAATTGACGATTCAGAATCAAAAGAAGTCTGATCTGTGGGGCAAGGTACTGCCCCCACCAAGACTGTCTTCTTGAAATGAAGACGAGCCAAGCAAAACGCAGGGGCACTACCTATCTTTTGACGAAGCGATTCGCGATATCAATCATGTCGACAAAATGGTAGAATAAAATTTTGAAAAATATTTTTTTAAGAGTAGCTCTCCTGAGTAGCTCACCTGGAGATGATTTTATTTTTTCATTTTTTCTACCCCATCGTGTGGCGTAGGATTTTCTCAGACTCATTTTCGATTTAGGGATCCGTTTGCGAAATATTGAACTTTAAATTACAAATTTTTGTTTGTGTAGTCCCCCCCCCCCCTCTCCTATAAAACTACTGGCTTAAAAAACCTGGAAAAAATCATGATAATAGAATAAAGCTTTTCATGAACTTTTAAGGAAAAAACTAGTTGTTCAACTTATGTATTAGAACATTTCTGACCTAATAAAAAATCCTTAGAAGAAAACATTAAAATTGACTTAGACGAAGTAATTGCTTAAATTGTAGAGTTTTTCCAAAATATATTGTGGGTCCAAAATATACTGCGCGTGGCACGACACGCACTTGGCAAGTTTTTTCATCTTACACCCATGTGAATGTAGCGAAATGGCCAAGTCACATATTTTGCCTTAGGTGTAGAGTTGGTGAAGTTAGCCTAGTAGACCGGGAGATGATGACACAAAATACTTGGTCATTTGTACCAGTATGGCGGTTCTTCAGGGGTCTAATTACGTAAAGGCAAAAAGGAAAATGATGGTCATAGCGCTCGCACCGGCGGCCCAATCGCGTGGGCGTTAATCGAACGCGTCGGATAAATAACGAGTGTCGAACGATTTGTTCCACAAAAATGCTTATATTTTCAGATAGTCGAAAAAAAGAAGTAGGCGGTAGCGTAATGCCATACTTCTCGGGTGTGACTTACAGCCCGCCATACCGACGCGAATACATTAATTTAAATAAAACAATTCAACCATTTGTACCAGGCTAATTTTTGCACAGCTAATCATCGTCGAGTAGCCATTCACGAAAATCACCTTGCCATACTTTTCCGACAGTTCCCAATGGCCGCCATACCGCTGCAAAGGAGTAATTTTTTTTTTCGCCAAACGATTTTTTTGTGTCATCATCTCCCGGTCTATAGGCCATTAGGCCTTGTGGAGTTAGGGCGTGTAGAGTTAGAAGCATGGCTCTAAATGACATCTGATAAGTTTTGACAGTGCGAGTCATAATTTATGGTCTTGTCTTTGTAACATTTTACATGATTTTTTTATGCGATCTGTTATTCTTTGTGCTTGTAAATAATTGGCCTACATAGGAGTACGAGATTACGTGTCATCAATTTAATTGGCAAATGTTCAAATTTATATTTTGAATTCAACCTTTTTTCTGGTGATAATTTTGAGGCGGAAGAAAATATGCTTTTTAGCATTTACAGACAAAAATACAAAAATCCCTTATCTCTTTAAACACAATAAGGAACGGATAGCACCAACGGAATCACGTCTCCCCGCGTAGGCTCGTACACTATGAGAAAAGTTGAAGGAAACTGGGGATTTATTTGTCGACTTCGCCTTGATAAAACTTTCTTTGACATTTGATTGCGGGGTCATACTTCCTCCACCATCGATATAAGTTCGGTGGTCCTTCTCGATGAATATCAGACCGATGGAAACTGCGTCGACCCACTTTTTGGTAAATTAGGATTAATGTTAAGGCATAATTTACGTAGTTTATCGTCATCACAATCAGCCTAAAAGAAACTCACTCCAGCAGTGGGTCTCTTTTAAGCTGATTATAATAATATAGGCCTTTGCCTTCTTATGCATGGAATAAGGCCATGATTCACTATCTGGGTCCAGTGCAGATTAGTAAGTTAAAAGGCCGCAGAAGCAGCTGAGAATAAAATCATGGTGCATGTACCTTCCAAATATGAGCGTGTGCACTAGATAATACATTTTTGGTATATATGGATAATACTATGGACGGCTATTGGCAGTCACTTTAATTAAGTCATTTAATAAGCTAAGCAAGCTTTTGGAAAAATATTTAAAATAAAAAATGTTCTGTTAAACCTGTATGACTCACTTAAATCTCTTCACCCGCTTACATGTGTCTATCAATAAATCTTAGCTCGAGGGAAAAGATCTCTCTAAAGATGCGGTCAGATAGCGTGTGTTGTCTTGGGCGCGGACGCCCCGCGCAGGTTTTCCAAACGTGTGAGAACTCTAACGTATCAAACGTTAGAGTTCTCACACAGTTAAGCAGTCCCTTTACATGATACGAAGTAAATAGAAATCTATATATCTAGCGGTTCCTATATAAATCCGCAAGTGGAAATTTTACATAATAGCACTGCCGACCGCTTCTTTAGAGATAAGTCCTCTTATGCTGACATTTTTATGTATTATGTCGAACTATTTTTTGTGTGCAATAAAGAGTACTTATTACTTAAAGATAATAAAAAACTTTTTATTATTTTTTTATACAAACAGCTGCTTTCAAGTTTCTTCAGAAAGTGGTAAAATTAAGATACTTGAAGATTTAAATTTATAATAATTCACCAATTCATTAACTATTAACCTCGATGCTTTAGCTCCAGGAATAAGCCACGCTAAAGTCAAAACTAAACAACAAAACACAGTCAAAATAATCAATTTTCTCGACCGCAAACTTTGTCCGAATCAGAACTTCCATTCATAAACTCAACTTTAACTTCTCGAATAACATTAAGGATGCCTAAACTTTGCAGACAAAAAAATACTAACTTAAATGGCTTCCCGTTCAACGTCGTAGAAATATTATCTGTCCAGGTGTGATTTCTTTAGTAAAGAGTTACTTTTCATTCATTTAACAGTTTTCAATGAAAGCAATCAACCCCTTTTTAATCAATGACCTCTCTTCTTCCATCTGATAGCCTTTTAAAAGATATAAAAAAGGAGTTTAACGGTGTGACATAGACACATCTGTTCTATTTGTTTATTTCCTCCATATTCGTTTCGTACCTTGGCCATTAATAATTTTAAAATGTTCGTTTATGATTTTTTTAAAGTTTGAATCGAATTCCGTCCAGACTTTAAGTTAGGTTATTATAGCCAATTCTACACTATTCTATACTATTAATGTGAAAGTTTATAATATCTTTTATTCTTTATTGGCCACGATGAATTAGGAGAAGTAGGAGAGCAACTTACACCAGAGGCGACATAATAATTGCCTATGTCATAAATTTCTTCGACCATAAAATAATTACACAAAAAAAAACAAGCAGAATTCATTCATTCAAAATATTCTTTACTTGAAGAGTGAATTTTATTACTATGAAGTACATACTCTTTGGTTAATTTTTTTTTCTTACAATAATATAATGATAAGTGTTTTATTTTTATGCAACAATGTTGTTAATCGTATTTAAATGAATTCGAGAATATTCCGTAATATTAGAGACCACCCGAGAGTTCAAAATATTAAACAGTTAACGATCTATTTACAAGAGATACCGGGACGGACGGAGGATTCTCAAAGGAGCGCCATAAAAGCTTGGAAGTTGACAAATATCCTAACGTTATTTCTGTACTAATTAGACAGTGGGCGTCGCTTCTGTCACTCGGGTGACAAACGAAAGAGACACGTCACAAGCGACCTGAGATAAATTTCTTTGACGATCCGCACTATCGTTTATATGTGGCATTAATAAAAAATAAAACAATGTACGTCTCTTGATAAACGGACCCATTTGTATCGGATGTCAAGCTGTTATGAGAATCGTGTTAGGAGAAACGAGTATCGTGTTTTTATTGATGTCGTAATTTAATTGAAATGATGTTTTCGTTTAACTTACGGCTATTTTGTTGCTTTTTTGCCTGCCTAGCAATAACGGAGACGAACCTGTAATAAACAATTTAATTAAGTACAGTTAGAATGAATGATCTAAAAATATAGAAAAGATTAATACAAACAAAATCAACGAAACTACCATTTTGTTACTACACCAACCATTTGCAATAGCGCATTGAATAGTTATAAAAGCTGTAACCATTGGAAGGCCAATTATGTATCTTTCTATAAATCTGCAGTGTGATACGCAATGGTCAGCCGGAATGTATCTGAGGTAAGGTAAGCGCTTTATGTTCCGTTGTGTTCAAAGGATTTTTGGGACCAATTACTCCAGTTCTAGAAAGGGCCGCACTGATGAGAAGATCAGAGTAAAAGTATCGAGACGGCAAAATTGATTTAGTGGTCTTTTGTCGCTAAGCCAATTTGATCATGCCTATTATGATTGTTTTCCTCTCGAGCTATTGTTGGAGTTGGATAAAATTTATTACTTACGCCAATGTTATTCCAACTTATCTCCGCGCTGAAAAGGGTTGCAAAATATTTATCGTTACTAATAATATTTTTGGTTAGAAATTTGAATACAAATTTTATTCAGGATATAGTAATATTGGAATTGACGACGGTCGAAAAAGTTAACAGAAAAAGGTACATTTGATCTCGAAAAATGACTGACTGAGTAACTTGTTTCTCCAAATAAGTTAGAGCTTTATCTTATTTTGCATAAAATTCATAATGGATTGAGATCATTGATCAATTTTAATAACTTGATGTGTTATTGTTTATTCTATACAATTGTGAATAGGTTTCCTTCTCGGGTTACGCAAGTCAGTACCTATGTTTGACCTAAGTCACTATCTAAGTATGTTTTCTTGTGTTATCTCAAATGCGTATGTCAATTACTGCCAATATTGTATCGATAACTTTATAGGTCAGCAGTGCTTTTACTCGTGATACTTTAAAGGTGTTTTCCGTTCATAGTTATTATGTGGATACATTAATTATTGCTTATTTAGATCGATGGCGATATCTTTGTGTTGGATTTTATGGTGCTTGTTTTTTAATGCTTACAAATGTACGCCGAGACGCCAAATACCTTTTAAGTTTGATAAAAGGTATTGCTGTCACTTTCTTTGCTGTAAGAAGAGAGTAAGGCAACAAATGACCATTTTCTTAAAATTGAATTTAATCATAATCCAAATCATTTATTCAGTTTAGGATGTTACAAGCACTCATGAATATCTAGAAGCTATGTGATCGGTTCGTAAATCTACGGCGGGAGACCTTGTACTGAGAAGAACCGGCAAGAAACTCAGCAAGGGCTGTTTCTTTTTCTCCCTGTTTAATTATTTACAGAGTCGTCAAAAATAATCTCTTTTATCTATCAAGACCTTAACCCTTCTAAGTTTAAATCATTATCACTCAAGTTAATCTTAAATATAACACGTATTTATATAAAGTAAGTGACTGTTGTTGGTATTAAAACCAATTTGTGATTTATTCTTCGTTCGTCCCGGTATTTTGTCCCACATTCACACACCTTCCAATAACATCTTTGTTTGTAACACATCCGTTTTAAAATTCTAGGTTTGTCCCGAATTCCTAACACATTTAAAGAAAAAAATAAAGCACTGTAGTCGCAAATGCTAACCAATTAAGGTTATTTTGGTGCATCTTACTTTAAATTTTTAAACACTTATAGAATGTACAGTAATTCATACGAAGTCGCATTGTTTGTGTTTATTAAGCCAGATCTAATTCGAGTATCTTACCATAAATACATTCCGCAGTCATTCAGATAGAGTCACATTCATTTAGGTTTATTTGTATAGTATATTGTTGTACAATCCTTATAATATATGTCCCAAATTAAATAATATACATATTACTTAAAATGGCGTATTATAGTATTATGGAATTTTTAGAGAAAAAATCTTTGTACTACCTATTTGTTTATTTTAATTTGCATGCCTTGTGGTGAAACATAGAAGAAGCTTCTAACATATTATAATTTAACAAGTTTGTATCGCCTGTATTTACAAATAAATAAATAAATTGATTGACTGATTGATATGTATAGAAAAATACAAATAACAACAAACTTAATTGTGTATGATACAAAATACATTTTATGACGACAACAGGGTTTCAAGGTGTCACCTACTCGAAAGATCACGGGTTCGAATCCCGGTGGAGGCAGATATTTGTGTTGATGGATGTTAAATATGTATTTCTAAATAAATGTGTTATATATGTATCAGTATATGTATTCTATCCATTACCCTAGCATCCCATAACACAAGCCTACAGTGCTATGGGGTTACGCTAATCGGAGTGAGCGTTGGAAATATTCATTTATTTATTACAAGTTATAACCAAAAGGCTTGGTTCTAGCTTTAAATACCCACTCGGAGAAATTATTTGTTTAAATAATGTAAATTTTTGGAACTAAATAGTTCAGCGATTCATAAAAGAACTATTCTTGTATTAACCGAACATTTTTTTTTACTTTGGAGTTGCAAAATATTGTACCCATTGAGGAGACATTAAATAATAATAAATAAACGTCTGTCGAACTGTGATCACCGCTAATAAAACCTGACTCAATTATTGGGACAAAAGGGCAGGCATTATAGAACTACTAGCAAACCAGTGAACCAAATGTTCACCAAAAAAAAAGAAAGAAAAAAAATGTATTCAATTAATTGAGAACTTCGGGATTTTGTGTGGTTTCATTTGAAATAGAAATCACGTGATTTCTCGAAAACCGGAAGTGCTACGATACTCAAATCCGTTTTGTAGTCTTATCAGACTATTCTTAACTTATAACTTAAACATTCTCTTTATCTATCTCTTACGGTTTGGCCGCTGAAACAGCACCACGGACGGACTTGTCTATTAGATAAGAGACTAGCAAACCAGTGAACCAAATGTTCACCAAAAAAAAAATGTATTTAATTAATTGAGAACTTCGGAGATTTTGTGTGTGGTTTCGTTTGAAATAGAAATCACGTGATTTCTCTAAAACCGGAAGTGCTACGTTACTCACATCCGGTTTGTAATCCTATCAGACTATTCTTAACTTATAACTTAAACATTCTTTATATCTATCTCTTACGGTTTGGCCGCTGAAACAGCACCACGGACGGACGGATGGACGGACTTGTCTAATAGATAAGAGATGCCATTATATAAGCAGTAAGCATTATAATAGTCTTAAAAGACGTAACTGAATTAACATCAAAGAAATCATTTTTGATTGTTCTAAATATGAAAATTTCAAATATTTAAAACTTCCGTCATGAAATGTGTCAAAGTGTCAAAGCAACATTGTAATGTTAGCATGATTTAGTACCGACCTTTAAACCTTACCCAGGAGAGCGTTTTTCTGCAAACGCAAGTTCCGTGCTTACCATAATAATCAAAAGTTTATTCCGAAATCACAACAGCGTTACTAAAATATTATATTTCACCAAGTGTAAGTTCAAACGAAGCGTGTTTACACAATTTGGTTGCGTATGATTTGACCCGCAAATTTAATACCGAAACATAAATCTTAATTTCACCAAATGAACTACGTCAGGTGTGTTTATAACTTTTGAACAAAGGATAATAATGGAGGATTATGTTATGTTGTGTTACGAGGTGCTCCCGTTTATCATCTCTTTGTTTAGAGATCTCAGCTATTATGATAACAAGGTACTAATTAGATACCCATTAAAGTTGTTATTAAAGAAAGCACTGAGTTAATTATCTCAAACAATAATTGTAGAGCGGCCTCAGTTTGAAATTTATTGCAATGATACCATTATTTCCCCTAGACGGTACGGCTGCGTTTTCTCGGGTAAGAAGGGTTAAGTATAACCATAAATAGCAATTATACGTAATTCAAAAATTTGGTTCTGTACTAGTAATCTCGATGATGCGTTCGAACAAGTCAGGAAGTCGGTCGACGAGGGCGGGGAGTGGAACGAGGTGAGAAAAGTGAAGAAAGCAAGGGGACAAAAAGTGGTGATAGGATGCGCGAAAGAGGAGGAAGCAAGGAAGTTGAAACAAAATTGGAAAAGAATGAAAGTTTAAAAATAGAGACAGCTGTAAACAAAAACCCGCTTATAATAGTTAAATATGTGATGGGGGAGAAGAAAAAGGAGCAGGTGGAGGAGGCAGTCAGGAGGCACATGATAAAAACGGGGCAAAAATGCAGAAAGAAAGATCTACAGATAGAGGCCATCTACGAAAAGAAAACAAGAAACCTACATGTGGTCTTAAAAGTAGCACCTGTGGTATGGCGGCAGCTGACAGAAGCGGGGGCTTTCCAACTGCAGTGGGGTTTATCCTGTGTAGAGGATCAGTCCCCGATTATCCGATGCTCCCGCTGCTTGGGCTTCGGCCATATGAAGCGGGTCTGTCAGGAGCCGTCGGACAGCTGCAGCCACTGCGGGGAGGACCACATATATGTAGATTGCCCCAAAAAGGATCGTGCCCCTGAATGCCTCAACTGCAAAAAAGCTGGAACTAATAATAGGGAACACAACACCTTCAGCTCAGAATGCCCATAATCGCGAATGTGGGACAAAATAGCGAGGTCTCCGATAGCGTATTGCTAAGGTGGTCACAGAAGAGTCAAGAAAGAAAGATGAGACATATGGCGTCCTCCAGGCAAACCTCCAACGCAGCAGAAACGCAACAAGCGAGCTGATTTTGGAGGCTTCCAAAACAAAAATACTATTGGCGATGATACAGGAGCCATATACGGGCAACGCGGGAGTAGTGGGGGGTCACACCGGGGTAAGGTTCTACCAGGCTGCACAAGAGGTCGGGAAAGTAAACAAAGCGGCAATAGCCATCTTTGATCCGAACACAAAAATCCATCAATTTCCTCACCACAACAAATATAGTGGTAATAAAAATAAATACACTAGAATGGGAACTCGGTGTGATTTCCTATAGTCCAGGCAACGAATGCTCAAAAACAGGTATAGAGGGAATTGCTTAAAACACAATTTTTGACTTCGTGACTTTGTTAGGACTAGTTAGGAGGTAAACATATCAAAAGTCCCCGCCCGTAGCCCTTAAGCCGGGGGGAGGGGGGGGGGGGGGGCTTGAAGGTCCCATTTTTAGGTTTTTCGCATATATCTCGGAAACTATGCATCCTAGCGACATGAGACTTCCACAAAAGTGAAAGCTGATTAAATTTGCTACAAGTCTTATTCAGTCAAATTTTTTGATATCTTGTATAGTTTTCGAGATATCCGCTCTTGAAAGTCTGTAATTATGGAAAAAAAAATTGTTCCCATTTTTGCACGTCATAGTGAATTGTATCGAAAACTGCTGCCGTATTCGTACCTGTATAGCCAATGAGAACCGGAAAAAAACCAGAGGCACAGGGCCCTACCGTCTCAATTTTTTTTAAAGTCCAGTTTTATAATTTTAATCATTCTTAATACTACTTTTTGTGTTGAGCTGGACCAATACAACACCAGACAATCTTATCATTTAAATAATCATCTAATTTATAATAACCTTTTTTGCATAAAGTAGTTAACTCTTGCAGTTTTTTTAAACTTATTTTCTGGATTGTGTGAAGAACCTGGTCAGTGGGCCAACAAGTACATATTCTAAAATGAGCATGTGTGCTATTTAGACATCGGTGCATCGTTAAAGAGTTATCCGAGAGTTATCCGGTCAAATAGAGCATAAATGTAAAGCATTTTTTTTTTCTATAATTACAGATTTTCAAGAGCGGATATCATTATTACAGATATTATTATTAGATAATTACAGTTTCTCAATGACACTAATTTACTTTCTTTTTTACTTATGGACCTCACACCTGGCTCCCGCAAGCCTTACGAGCCCCAGCAGTGGCTGCCCACTGTGGACCCCGTAACCCTTACGGGCGCTATACGGCATAATATCCGCTAAAAAACCCTGCGAACACCCTCTAAGCTGCTTAGTGCGAAGCCGCGGAATCCCCGTTTAGGGATTCTTCCGCGTCTCCGCACCTAGCAGCCTCCCGGCCTTGCCGAGGTTCCGCGGCAGGGGTCTCCCGGGGTATCGCGAGGACCCCACAGACGTGCGCAGGACGGCCCGCGCGTGGGGGCTGAGTACGCGGCCTAGTGCCCACCGTACCGCCCCCATACGTCTACTACACTAACAATTTTGTCCTTAAATAAAAAAAAAGGCAATTGTTTCTATTATTGAAGATAATTTAATGCTCTACAACCCTACGGCCGGCATTTATTTTTTGGGTGCATTGTTGAAGAGTTATCCGGTCAAATAGAGCAAAAATGGGAACAATTTTTTTTTCCATAATTACAGACTTTCAAGAGCGGATATCTCGAAAACTATACAAGAGATCAAAAAATTTGACTGAATAAGACTTGTAGCAAATTTAATCAGCTTTCACTTTTGTGAAAGTTTCATGTCGCTAGGATGCATAGTTTTCGAGATATATGCGAAAAACCTAAAAATGGGACCTTCAAGCCCCCCCCCTCCCCCCGGCTTAAGGGCTACGGGCGGGGACTTTTGATATGTTTACCTCCTAACTAGTCCTAACAAAGTCACGAAGTCAAAAATTGTGTTCTAAGCAATTCCCTCTATACCTTTTCGTTGCCTGGACTACTATTATTTCGAGCCGGACACAGACATCGGCCCATATATAGCTCAAGTAAAGAGAGCCATAAAAGAATTAGGAGTAAGTAATATCGTTATAGGAGGGGACGCCAATGCATGGAGCGAATGGTGGGGGAGCGTTAAAAGTAATGACCCTGGAAGAAATGTTAGGACGTATAAATGATTTAGAGTTCCATATATTGAACGTAGGAGATAGACCGACCTTCCAAACCTGGCGAAGAGGGAAAGAGTATAAGAGCTGCTTAGATGTGACGTACTGCTCGACCGACATGCTGGACAAGGTGCTGGAATGGAAGGTGAGGGATGATGTGACAACGTCGGACCACAACACAATCTCGTTTAAAATAAAATTAGGAAATAATAAAAACAATATAAATAATAATAACAAAACCACCAGAAAATACAACACCCAGAAAACAAAATGGGTGGAGTACAAAAACGAAATGCAAAACCTTTTTAAAAATAATAATTTAAACAAAATAGAAATAGACAAAATAGACAATGTAGAAAAACTAGAAAACGTAATCAATAAATACACCAAATTAATAGAAGAGAATTGTAATAAAAATATAAAATTAAAAAAGACAACTAGTAAAATAAAGATTGTGTGGTGGTCCGGCGAGTTAGAAAGAATGAAAAAAGAAAAAAACAGAATGAAAAGAAGAATAAAATGGGCAGCACCAAGTCGAAAAACATGGGTGGTCGAGCAATACATAGAAGCGAAAGAAAAGTACGAAAGAGAGATGGATGTCGCCAGAGTAAAAAGTTGGAAGGAGTTCTGCAAAAGCAAGACCGGGAATCCATGTGGGACGGGATCTACAGAGTTATAGGCCGTACCAGAGCACAAGGCGAAGACCTGCCGATCGCGAGAGGGGGCACTACCACCAGCCCCAAACAGTCGGTGCGCATAATGGCGGAGACCTTTTACCCGGATGACACTGAAGTAGGGGAGAACGAGGTCCACAGGTCAGTGCGAATCAGCGTGGCAGAAGCAAATGAGGGAGACGAACATGATGTTCACGACCCCCCATTTGTGGAAGCCGAGCTGATGCACGCCGTGGAATCGTTCAACCCGAAAAAGGCACCGGGTGGAGACGGGTTCACAGCCGACATATGTGCAGCGACTGTAAAAGCGAATAGTGAAATAGCTCTCGCGATCTTCAATAAGTGCCTAGCCCTGGCCCACTTCCCGCATGGATGGAAAAAGGCCACCGTCATAATGTTAAGAAAGCCCGGAAAAGAAAATTACTATGAACCTAAATCATATAGGCCAATCGGGTTGCTGCCAGTCCCAGGTAAATTTTTAGAAAAAATGTTAGTACGCCGTATAAAATGGCATATATTGCCCAAATTAAATCATAGGCAATACGGATTCGTGCCGCAGCGTAGTACAGAGGACTCCCTCTATGATATGGTTCAGCGAATCAGGGACAAATTGGTAGAGAAGAGAATAGTGGCCCTGATATCGCTGGACATAGAGGGGGCCTTCGACAACGCGTGGTGGCCGCGGATCCGTTGCCAATTAAAAAACTTTAACTGCCCAATAAATTTAAGGAAATTGGTAGACAGCTACCTGCAAGATAGGATGGTGTCGGTGAGATACGCGGGAGAGGAATTCAGTAAACAAAACAACAAAGGTTGTGTACAGGGGTCCATAGGAGGCCCCTTATTCTGGAACATCTTGCTGGATCCTCTCCTAAACGAGCTCACCGACGCTAATATCTACTGTCAGGCATTCGCTGACGATATCATTCTTGTAGTGGATGGAGGAGACTCAAAGTCGGTAGAGGAAAAGGCCAATGTAGGGCTCTCCCTGGTCAGGAGATGGGGCGTGTCGAATAAGCTGAACTTTGCGGCACACAAAACCAAAGCCATGATCATTACCAAAAAGCTTAAATTCGACGCGCCGGTACTGACCATGGGGGGGATTACGATAGAAATAGTGAATGAAATAAAAATACTTGGCCTCAAAATAGATAACAAATTAACATTTAATGAACATATAAAATATATATGCGGCAAAGCAATTAATATCTACAAAGCTATTCAAAGAGCCGCAAAAACGACTTGGGGTCTCCAACCGGAAATAATAAGAACGATATATACAGCAGTAATAGAACCGGTCATCCAATACGCGGCGAATGTCTGGCAGAAGGAGGCTGATAAAAAAAAATCCAAAAAGAAATTCTCGGTTGTGCAAAGGGGGTTTGCCCAGAAAATTGCAAAGTGTTATAGGACGGTGTCACTCAACTCCGCCTTAATATTGTCGGGGCTGCTTCGGCTGGACCTAAGGGTCCATGAAGCATCCCAGCTTTATGAGGCGGAGCGAGGGAAACCCCAGGCAATATTGAGGGGGAGAAAGGTGGAGAAAAGGGTGTCCTTCATGGAATCGGACCACCCCGGTAGCAGCAGAATGATAGGTTTTGAATGTCTGGAAAACGAGGAGGAGGATAACAAACTGGCAGAAGGTCTTGTGAAGATCTATACAGATGGCAGCAAACTGGAGGGAAAGGTGGGAGCCGCCCTGACCTGTTGGAAAGGGCAGACAGAAGTCCTTTCCCGAAAGTTTAAGCTGGAGCCATACTGTACAGTCTTCCAAGCCGAGCTGTATGCTATCCTCCAAGCCACGGAGTGTGTACTAGGGAAGGGATGGAAGGAGGCGGCCGTGCTCAGCGACTCGAGGTCCTCTCTCCAATCGCTAGCTGATCCAGACTCCTCGCATCCGATCACCAAGGCGATTCAGGGCAACTTGGCCCAACTCAGGGACAACGGACAAACCGTGTCCCTGTTTTGGATCAGGGCCCACGTCGGGGTGATCGGAAACGAGAGAGCGGATCAGCTGGCGAAGGGGGCGGCCCTCGGGTTGAAGTGCAAATCGCACTATGACTGCTGTCCCATCTCTTTCGTCAAGCGACATGTACGCGCGATGACGAAAGTAAAATGGGACAGCAGGTAGAGGAGCGAGGACAAGGCGGCCACAACGAAGGCGTTCTTCCCTTGCGGGGAGAGCGCCCTCGGTGTCGTAAGAAAGATATAAATTGATAGGATAGCTGCACAGATCTTCACCGTGCATGGAGGTTTCTCCGCCTACCTCCATAGGTTTAAAAAGAAGGACACCCCAAGTTGCGTATGCGATCCCGACACCGAAGAGGACATCTTCCATGTCCTCTTAGAATGCCCCCTTTACAACAGAGAAAGACACGACGCACAAACAGCACTAGACACACAACTTAGAAAGGATAAC